ATCCCGGGCAGTCAGAAACACGACACCGGGATTGGAAAGACCCGAGCGCAGCCCGAGCCAGGGCTTGACCTGCCCGGGCTTCTCCTAACAGCTCAGCTCACAGCCAAGGTCTTCGTGTCTCTGAGCAGCGTCAGAAGGGCCCCACGGGGGGACGACAGGTAGAAGGGCTCCATTTTTTTTAATCAGAGATGACCTTAAAACATTAAACACCTCCCGTCTGGCAACCTTTTTCTCTCCCCTCCCTTCTTTTTTTTTTTTTTATTAGACTTGTTCTAGATGAGGTTCTTCGCTGTCACACGTAAGAAAAGCTTCACAAAGACTGCGCAAACAATGCGTTTCCTCTTCTCCTAAAGCCCATTTCCTTTACCAGCCCAATCCCACTGCGAAGCCACAATAGACTTGACCCCGAATCGTTGCCATAGCAAAGAAAACAAATGCCACAAACAAAGAAGATGGTTAATGGAGGGAGTAAATGATCAGCGAGACTGAAACGAAAAGTCTTTTGGCTAAAAGCAGGAGAGAAAACTACAGGCAGACGGACGCGCCGTACGGAGGATCACCTCCGTCCTCGTCCCGTACGCCATCTTCCCAGCATCTGGGTTCACGACCGCATCGCTGGGACTTTGTATATTCGGATATATTATCAAAGTAACTGACAGCCTCCCGCTGAAAGGCCAAAGTCCATTTCCTGATGCTACAGAGCTCGGGGAAGAGGAACGCTTGGGGAGGGGGTAAGAGCGTGCCCCGAGGCGGCACAGGGGACCCAAGCCCTGCAGCAGAGCTGGACCAAGCCCCAGGGAAGAAATCCCCACCGCCCGTCAGCGTCAACACCCCGCACACGCCGAGCGCCCTCCCTTCCAGTGAGCTCATACCCTTGGCTTCTCGTTTACCCGTGCAACGTTAAACAATTGTGTCATCTAGAATTAGCGTTCCTCCAGCACGCAGGCAGAAAGGTAGCCGTGTCAGACGGCACCCTGCTCTGCCTACAGCGCTTTCCCAAAGAAGGTGAACATTTCAATTCCCTGGGTTTTTTGGCATTTTTCTTTGCCCTCTTCCTCTGACCGTTCTGCACCGTTTCAAAAAGCAGCTCCGCTGACCGGCCACTCCTGCGGGTACGTGCAAATGACTTTTCTCCCTGCAGCCCCATAACTTGCGTTACCGAGCAGCAAGGCAACTTTCTTCAGGGCCACCGCATCTAAATTCAGCTCCTTCCACCTCACATGACCCGAGTCGTCGGCTGGACTAACCTCCAGACCCTCCCTGCTGAAAAACCTGCCACTTCTGAAGCAGCAGAGCACCCGGACCTCCCCACGCACATCACGCAAGGGCCCAAGAGCTGGGACAGGCACGAAGCGTTACGGCGGCGGCTCAGTCTCCGCCGATCAGCTTCAGAGATGACCTCGCCTGCAGAGAGAACTTCCCAGACCACCTGTGGGACACCAGACTGCTCTACTCACGGCGCTGAGAACCGCCAGCATTTACCTGCCTCTCGGAAAAAGCATCTCAGTCGGGCAGAGACAAATGTTGTGCAGTGTTGCGCGTGCACCAAGCAAAATTACAGTCTTTTGCACAGAAAGCGGCTGTCAGGAAGGCTCACCTGTAATGTCCTTAAGTTCTGAGGCTCAACCCCCTGAGCTCCAGGCCTGGAGGGAAGCTTGGACAGTCCCTGCTGTCCCACGTGAGCAGGAGATGGCTGGACAATAGACGCTGCATTCTGGACAACCGGAGTCTAGATTGAGAGAAAATGAGAACTGGCATCAGCGCATGGAGCTTGGAAAGGAAATCCACCAACAGACCCAACGCAGACCAAGCCTCATCGATGCCACATCGAATACTAATACTTCAGAGCTGCATAGATTTATCTTCTCAGCTGGCCCTGAGGGCAGCACGCTAGGTAGGACGGGCTGCGGATTCGCTACGGACACGCTTTGGCAAGAAATATCACACAGGAGGACAAACGTGGAGTAAAGGAAGGTCCAAGGGCAGGGCAAGTCTTCGGTGTTTGCCCGCTAACAGGCTTCTGCGAGGCCGAGCGCCTTCCCCCCCGCGCCCAGAGCCCCAAACGATGCTGCTCAGAGCTTCACCTTCTGTACCACGTTCTCCTTTTGCAGCTGACTTTGCCTCAGTTTCTTCAGCAACACAAGCCTGGCCTCCTCCAGCCGTAGCTCATCCCGAAGCTGCTTGATCAGCTGCTGTCGCTCCTCTATGCTTTTACCCTACGAAGAGGCAGAAAAAAAAAATAAAATCAGCCAAAACTCGAACAGCTGAAACCTGCTGCCTGTGCCTTGGTGGCAAGAGAGCATGAGGAAGCTTTAATACAAGCAAGAATTTGTACCGCGGATAACCAAGGATGCAAGAGCTGGATCGTTACGCCCAGAAGTTACCGCATTGCTCAGAAACCCCCTTAGCTCCCAAATCCTTCAGAAAAGCAGAAACCCCCTGCAGCAGAACGGCTCTCCGCTGGAGCAGCCGCCCGGCAGAGCCGAGAAACCCCTTACCTTAAACATTTCAAGATTTGCTGCCTTGAGTCTTTCCTCCATACGAGAGCTGGAACGGGGACTGGATGCCTCATTATCGGAGAGGACAATTATATCGGGCGAAGGGGTTAATCGTCCCCTGTCCTGGTCACTGCGTAAGAGAAGGGAGGGAAGAAAAAAAAAAAACACAAGACGACTGAGCCACGACACCGAGACATCGGCAGCACATTTGGGAGCGGGACAACACCCCCCCCCGGCTCTCCACCACGGATGCGAACCAGAGCTCGGCACAGCTCTCCACGCCTGCAGAGCCGACGAACCCCAGCGGACCGCCGGCACTAGGACAGAAGGATCCTCCGCTCGCAGGAGGGGAGAAGACTCATTCCTCGAAACCGTTTTCTTCACCAGGGTGAAAGGTGGGTTGTTTTAAGCGCAAGGTAAGCAAACAGATGGCGCAAAGCCTATCCACGAGAGGACCAGTCGGGTGTTAATAACGAGCCATATAGTAACTAAATAGGGAGACACAACCGTAGCCAGGTGCTGAGATGAGAGGGAACAGGGGTAGGTACTCTGGCCGGGTATTGTTCATACTTACTCAGGAAGATGCTGGAGATGAGGACGGGCTAAGTCCCCCAGTTAACAGAAATGTAAATACTCCAAGCCTATCTCAATACGAATCTATTTTAAAAGGTCACTCCGTAAAGGAAAATCTGAATAAATACCCCGCGTAGAGTCAAAAGATCCAGTTGAACCGTGACCTAGAAATCAGTAAACGAAAAGAGCAGCAACGACAACAGCCCGTCACCGGGAAAAAAAAGAATATTAAAAAAAAAAAAAAAATCAATGCTATAATCCAGCAGTATCCAAGCACCGCACTGTTCGCGGTGGCATCATTCAGAGTAAGGAGACACTAATAAAAGCCCTTTGCTATCACCAATTTAACGTAACGGTGCTTGGAGAGCCTTGGAAAAACCCTAAATAGTCCAGTGTGAAGCAGCACAAGCACCGTGGTTATGAGGGTGCTGGGCGCGCTGCCGCCGAGGCAGACAGACTTATCGCTCTCGGACTCGCTGGAAGGTCTTTGGTGTGAGGCTGGAAGCCAGCGGGTGTGTGTGGGGGGGGAGATGCACAGATTATCTTATCGGAAACTTTTAGCTTTGAACACCCAGGAGGAAGCGTGGAGCCGACTCCCAGCTCCCAGACTTGGCTGCTCCGGGGGCGGTGGGTCCGGAGAGGATGCTCGGAGCGGGACGCTGGCTTGCAGGGGGTTTTTGCTTTCGGCAGCTTCATCTCCCGAACGTTACAGCCGCTTTCGTGGGCATTTCAAAGCCCTAACGCGGCGTAGCTGCCCCCTTCTCCAGCCGTTGCAGGTCCACGGCAAACCCCATCGATCATGGACTTTGCAGGTCGCTCTTCAGCTGGAGAAATGCCCCCGGCAGCATGGCTCCAAACCGTCAAAAAAAAAAGAGAAGAAAGCAAAGCCGTGAAAGCTCTCGGCTGCGCCCAAAGGTGCCGGGACACGGCTCTGCGTGGTATTTGTGGGTGCCTTATTTCAGAGCCCTCAATAACCTCTTTGTGGGCCATCACACACTTAAGGCGTCATATGAACGCGGTATCTGCTGATCAATAGATATCCTGTTCTTGCAGATCTCCTTTCGGCACCACGCGGACTCTGCGTGTGGGAACCAAACCAGGGGTTTTCCAGCTGCTGCTCCCTCTCCGGAGCGGAGGAGGAGGTTTCTCAGGTGGCCGGTGGCAGGAGGGTTTCCAGCTGGGGCTGACTTTGTGGTCTGTCCCAGCAGCGCAGTCGGCAGAGAAGGTCCAGAGCATCCTATCGAGATAAAGTCAGCCTGAGCTGGTCCAGGGCAAACCAACCTGCGTCCGAGGAGTTTTATATTTAGCTGGCCAAGAGCAAGAGCTGCTTTTGGACGAGTCTTCACCAGCTCTTGAGCCGCCCATCGCCCTCCCACGGCATTTTATCTGGCTTCTGCTGCGAGCTACCTAAGGTGCCTATCTCCAAACTATCAGTTAGGGCATGACTACACACGAAACCGCTCAGGAATCAACACGTCCTCGCAACGAAGCAGGTATCCCGGGTCACCTCGCAGCCACCGTTCCCCAAATGGAGTTTCGAATGTCAACAAACACCGTGATGACCAAGCGTTTGGATAGGAGGCTCTCCGGTACGCACAGGATCGCACGTTAAAAATAAAAACAGGCTTTGGCAGAGGGTCTCTTCCCCCATCAGCATCAGGGCTGCTCGCGCGGACCCCGCAGGCACCAAAACCAAGTCTGGATGCACTCGCTTTGAGTAACAGCATCCCAAACTCTCGGACCAGAGAGGCTGAAGGCAGTCAAGCACTGAGCACAACAGCTCTTCTGGCTCCTCTTGCATCCTTGGCCACATCTCGGGCACACCCGGAGTAATAAAGCATTGAATTTTGGTTCAGGATTTTCCTAAACGCGGGCTTGTCATTACGGCCGCTGGTGATTATTTTGCACCAGCATCCAGATACATCCAGGCTGTTTTATTTACATTCCATCGAGGGGAAAAAAGCAAAGCCAGTGTCAAAGCCAGACAGGGGAAAACAGGGCCATCTGCAAAGAATTGCCGACTATGTCGGGGTTGTTTTATTTACTTTTGTCAAGGCAAGAGCGTAATTACAACAAAACTACTGGAAGAAGAGCTGCGCCGACGGCGCAGGAGGCAGGCAGAGGTGAGAAGACGTGGAGCACGCTCCCAAGCAAACTCCAGCTTAGTGACCCCTTATCAGCTGGTTAGGAAAATTAAACGCCCCCAGCCTTATTCCTCTTGCTAGAGACGTTTTTCGCACTCAGTTATTTCAAAACTCGTAGCAGAATTTTTCTACCTCTTTTTAGGGCTGATTTCTTTTCGATCACAGTTAGCGATTCAGGAGTCCGCGCCCGATGCTGGTACCTAACTGGATTTCCCGCGTCTTGCACAATATTCAAGCAACTCAGCTGAGCACGCAGCCCTCCGCAGCGCCCGGACACCCGCCTGCCAGCTCTTCGGGGAGAAGACCACCTGGACAGTAACGTACCCAGAGCCATGGTTATTCCTACAGCATTTAACACCTCGAGAGCTTAAACCCGTCTGCAAAGTGGCTGAGTGTTACCCGTGTTGTCTCACCCACAGGGCTTTTGGGGAGAATTTGCGCTTTTCAGAGGTGCAACACCCCGATGATGCAGTTGGAGCAGGACACAAGTCAACCCCGGGCACCTCCGAAGGGTGTTGCTCATACCCGAACGCTCCCACGAGGGCAGATAAAACCCCGTGGTACACGGTAATAATGTCTCTGCCTCACTGCATGCAGTTCTTCAGATTTTATGGGAGGCTGAACCAGCGACAGAGGTGTCCGGGCAGATTTAAGCCACGTATATAGTCATTAAAGAAAAACAATCCACGTGGTTTTCTTCCTTCCCGCCTCCGGGCACTGCAGGTCTGTTCACCACTTCAGATGCTCTACAAGCCAGGGTGTGAGGGATAAGAAAGTGCCTATGAAGGCATTAATCTTCATAATATTTACTATACTGACAGCGGCCAGAAGGGGCTTGAAGCGTTGAGATCCCCCTGCCTTCAAATCCCCCCTCCATCACCAGCTCACCGGCCCCCGTCAGGACAGGAGCCCCCCAGAAGCGCAGGCAGCACCCCCTCGTTATCCAAAAACCACCACCAAGGCGAAAAGACCCCGATACGACGCATCAACGAAGACGAACAATCCTGGTTTTGCTGAATCACGATCCCGGTTCCTCGATGAACAGGGAGAGCGAGAACAGAGAAAGCCGGCAACACGCACCCCCCCGTCTCGAAGAGGGCTCACCCTGCCCTCGGACCTTCTTGCTGAAGCAGCCAAACTTCCCGTACGTCCACACGCAAAGACGTACTCGACCACCTGGGACACCGGCATCTATCTCCTGGCCCGCGAACGCAGCTCCTGTCATTGCAGGCTGCAGCTTTGCAAAGGAATTACCACCACCTCCTTCAAACACACGTCAACTGCAAATACCTTGTTCCTGAGCAAGGCGCAGTCATTCATCTGAAGCACCAAGAAAACAGAATCACAGAAAGGGTTTGGGTTGGAAGGGACCTCGAAAGGTCGTCTAGTCCAACCCCCCTGCCGCGGGCAGGGACAGCTTCAACTAGATCAGGTCGTTCAGAGCCCCGTCCAACCCGACCTTGAACGTCTCCGGGGATGGGGCATCTACCCCCCCTCTGGGCAACCTGTGCCGGTGTCTCACCACCCTCAGCATAACAAATTTCTTCCTTATATCTAGTCTGAATCTCCGCTCTTGTAGTTTAAAACCATCACCCCTCGTCCTGTCGCTGCAGGCCCTGCTCCAAAGTCCGTCCCCATCTTTCTCACAAGCGCCGAAAGGCCGCCGTGAGCTCTCCCCGGAGCCTTCTCCCGGCTGTTTTCTTCTCCAGGCTGAACGACCCTGACCCTTCCGGCCCGTCCTGGCAGCGGAGCTGTTCCAGCCCCCCGGGCGTTTTGGTGACCCTCCTCTGGACCCGCTCCAACAGGTCGGCGTCTTTCCTGGGCTGAGGACCCCGGAGCTGGACGCAGCGCCCCGAGGGGAGTCGGGGGGGGTCTCACCAGAGCGGAGCGGAGGGGCGGAATCCCCTCCCTCGCCCTGCTGGCGATGCGGCCCAGGGGACGGCTGGCTTTCCGGGCTGCCAGCGCACGTTGCCGGCTCATGTCCAGCTTTTCACCCACCAAAACATCACGGGAAGGTCTCAGTGCTTTGCCCCTACTTTAAAGCAGGACTCCTCCGTTCTGCTCCTCAGCCTGTTAGCCAAGCCTGCGCTGGCTCGGTTCCCAAATCAAGCCAAAAATCAAAATCATTAACATTTGTTTCCTTCTCCCTCCCAAGAAAGCTAAAATAAGAACAGAGGCGGGATGCACCGGTGCTGCGCAGCACATGGGACGTGCGACCCTCCAACTCCCCCGCGCAGAACCTGGCTGCAGGTGTTGGCCGCAGAAATTGAGTTGCCGGAGTTCACCGACGATAACAACCAGGTGCACGCGCGCGCTGCACATACGGAGAGCGCGAAGAACGCCAAAGCTTCTCCTGGAAAACAGACACAGCTCACCAGCACTCGACCGCTCAGGCAACCGCTTCTCACGAGCGGTCTCAGGCCCAGCAGGAAAAACCGTTTACTTCTTCCTCGCGGAGGCGCTGGCCCGGCCGGGGTCAGGTTTGAGAGCGACTGGCTGTGCCACTTGCACCAGATCTGGCCTCCGGCTAAATAAGGGACTTCTGCTGCCACTTTTGTAGGCGCTAATAAAAAGTCCTGGCCGGAGGGGAAGCCCTCCTCCTTCGCGCGCGCCGGCAGGGTCTGCTCTGCCAGCCACCCGACGGTTGTAGCTTGTAATACCAAACATATGGATGGAGGAAGAGACGAAATCCATCTGGTTTTGGGGTGGAATAAGAAGGGCAGCAGAAGCAAAACCAATGAAAGAATAGTGCTGAATGCCTTCCGGAGAAACTCTACTGGGAGAGCGGGCTCCGCTCCTCGGCGCTCAGCCAAAGGGACCTCGCAGACACCAGGAAGATTCCCCCAGGCCCCCAGGCCCGCAAAATGTCGATTTAATTTCTGACTTGGGTTCTCACATCTGGCAGAGCACGGGATTAACAACAGGCAAGCTACAGACTCCAGTCATTTGGCACCTACCTTCTCCTTGCACTCATATCCACCGGCTCATCGTTAATGTTTTCCTTCCCTGGCCTCCCTGCAGTCCTGCCATCCCCATGGGGCCTAAGGCTCCCATTCAGCTTTTCTTCGTAGACTTTCACACCATCCTGTTTCACCGGGAGCTCGTGGGGCACCTCAATGCCCGAGAGGTCTTTCCTCTTCAGCAGTGCCAGCATCTTCAGGCGCTCCATCGCCTCATGTCCTTCCATTTTCAATCTCTTTGCCAGGACATCATCCCGATCATCTGCTTGGTCCAAGCTCCGTTTCAAGAGGTTCAGGCGCAGAGCATCTTCCGTCATTCTGTCCATCCTGCGGGATAGAGGTGGACATAAGGACACAATCAGTATCACAGCAAACAGAAAACGGTTGCGGCAGACCTGGCTTAACTCCCCCGGGGCTGGCGGGGACCTCCAGGCCCGGCCTCCCCCCCCTCAGGGAGCACCAACCTCCCACGCGCCTGTGTGCGGTGACCTGCCGGCAGCAGTGCCGCACGCTTTTAGTCCCGATCCTAAACCAGCCAGGCAGGGAGTTTCCCAAGCAGAAGGAACCGCACACACCTGAAGGGCAAGAGCACCCCGAAACCCTTGAGAACTGAAGGCACAATCCCTCGTTCAGCATTAAAACACCGCCGGCTGCCGCTCGACAAGATTTACTAGAAAGGGGAGCCGGCAAACACTCGAGTCGCCCAGGGACGCAACGAGGGCAGCTTAGCTCCTTCTCACACTACGTGTGCCCAGCCTTAGTTTTTGTAAGGCTTCATTCACAGGCTTCGTGCCGTGGGCTCTTGTTTTTTGAGGGGACCCGAGGCGCGGTTTGAGCCCCCTGCTACCAGCACGAATGCCACGGCACGCCAAGTTTGGTAGCAAGCCTCCAAAATGCAGGAAATCCCCTACCGCGCGGTTTCTCCTGCTCCTTCTACGCTCTCGGGCGAAGTTGCCCTGTTAGTCGGCGAGGAACGCGAGGCACCCTCTCACTCCAAGGATGAAGGCACACACAAGAGCATCCCCACCCACCCTCGCCCTCCGTCCTCCCCGGCCGACCGCCTGTCTCTCCTCCAGGTGCAAAAATGCCCCGTGGCAAACAGATGCAGTACAAATAAAACAGGGGAAGGAGCCGCAGAGCCCATCCCAACCCCAAGTCTCTGCTCCCAGGCTGATAAGAAACTAGCTACAACAAAAAAAGAGCCAAGGGAGCTCCACCTGAAAGCAAGGAAAGACCAGCTCGGTGAGGTCTTCACCTACCGACACGCAAACCGGGGCTGGGGACGATGACGAACAACCGGGGAATAAGCGAGAATTTAAACCGTGGCCATCTCAAGAAGGCCAGTGACTTTTTTCTGCTCCGCATGCCAGCAGCTCGCAGGGGCTCGTTAATAAGGCCTGCGTGCTCCGAGCTGAAAGACGAGGCCAAAGCGGCCGAATCTCGGGCACCTGGGCTCCTCCACGCTCGCTTCAGGTGGAGCTTCCTGAACTTGGCTCCGAGTCACTCACGAGATAAAGCTTCGCCGAGCCAAATTTCTGCCAGGAAAACGTTGTTCTGGCTCAGTTATAAATCCCCTATAATTACACATCTTCCGAAGTACAGCTGTCACGCAAGTTCAACTGCAGCATCAATATGGTTTCAAGGGTATGAGCCGTGCTAGAGAAACCTTACTCTTAAAAAAAAAAAGGGGTGCAGTCGCGGCAGGCAGCAAGAAAACAAATGCAAATCTGCAGCGCAACAGAAAAAAGATCCGACCAAGCCTCTGGCACAGTCCGATCTCAAAGAGGCTGCCACGTTCAGGGTGAGCACCTTAGACTTCTTTCTACTTGACAGTCTAGTCTCTCTGCAGGAAAATGCATGTCTACTGCAACCAAATATAGACAGGCAAGCACGGGCAAGCCAAGGAAGACACATGAAATTCCGCTTCTCCGCCCCCATCCCTAAGAAGTGACCCCAGGTTAAATTGAAGCTGTGACTGGCGGTGGGTTATTCAAGACACCATGGGATAGAGAGAAGCCTCACCGCACCCAGCGCTGCGGTCTGGATCCGGCTGCTGGGAAAGCGCCGAGCTCCAATTAACTCAGCCATGAAAGGGCCTCCACAGCTGCTTCCTCCACTTCATACTCTTGGGAGATGAAAGAAAGCGAGGAGGAGGAGGAGAGAGAAGTCCAGATACCTGGCAGACAAAGGCTGACACATGGGGAGGGCGCACCCGTGCTTTCTAACCAGCCGTCGCTTCGGCGTTTGCTTGAGGACACGTTAAAAAAGCATCCCTAGATAGTGGTACCCACCCACGGTGCGGTCAAGTCATCCTGCAGGTTCTCCCCTACGGAGAAGCCGCTTCGTCCCTACGAAAACGAGCTCCACACTGATCCATAAACTGAATATATCACTTAAAAAAACCAAACAACCAACCCCAAAACAACACACACCGAGCATGGGAGAGCTGGTGCCACCTTGACTGATAAGCAATCTGAAGCAATTTCACTGAATTACATCTTGGTACTCAAAAAACTCACGGTGCTTCACGCACGTGGGTATTTCACGTCACGTGTTCTGACACCAAGACAAATGCAGCTGTAATACTGCTGGCAAGCAAAAAAATAAAACAATACTAGAGCGCACAAAGGAGGTTCAGGCTCCCTGAGCGCACAGTGGTCGTCTTCCGGCCTTCAGAAGGGTAGCGAGATGCACCCGCGCGAGGAAAACCATCAGAACATCGTAAAAATTTGCCCGTTTTAAAAAACACGAAGGGTGACATCTGCACCTCAAGGTGCCACATCCAGCAAAGCTGGCACGGACCAAAAAAAGAAGAGCAACGTACCCAAAGGGAGAGTTGCCGGGCCCTGATAAGGTTTCAGATCGAGCCATGCCCCTTCGCGGGCAGTTATTTAAGCAAGCCAAAGCACCGCCATGAAACGTGAGCGGAGTTGGGTGTTTCCTTTAAAGACCCACGGCAGCCGCCGTCCCTTTGAACTGCGACATGGGAGAAGAGAAGAAATTACCTGCTAGTAACTGCTGGTTCGGGGCCGGGCTGCCTCTGCGCACCCGCGAGCGGAAGGAAGCCGTAAAGCCCTGGCTGCAGGCGCGCCGGCGATGAGGAGCGTTATCGCCACGCTCCGATCGGAGTCGGAGCACGAAACAAAGCCAGCGACGGAGGCACCGGCAGGAGTCGGCAGCAGCCAGGGTCCACCACCACCACGACCACAAAGGAGACGCAGCGGCGGTACGGAAGGAGAACAAACCTTTTGCTCGGCCTCTCTGCAAGGCAGAAGGTCTCCTTCCACCTCCCCTTCCCCGCAGGAAGCCCCGAGACCTACCGGTCCCATCACCAAAGTGGCTTTTTGGGTGTCCCCCACCTACGTGGGCCCATCCTGCTCCATCACGAGAGCGGTACCACGTCCCCGAGACAGCATCCCTGTGATTTTCTCCAGCTTTGCCGTCACCCGCTAGCACCGAGCTGGAGGACGAGCAGTTCGTCTTTTGGGAAGTTAAGGAAACGCCGTCTGGGGACGCAGAAGAGGAACGCACCGGGTGGGAAATCAAGGTCTTGGCCGACAAACACCGAAGAAACAACGCACCAGCCTCCAGGACTCGAAGGCCACCGGTCGGTGGGATTTCGGCAGCATCATTTAGCGCATCCGCTTGCTGCAGGAGGGAAGGACTGAGCAGACCATGAATGAAACCCCTGCTTGCAGAGACGCGAGTAGATGGCATCTGAAGGGTTTCAGCATGCCCTCCCCTTTAACGTAAGTGGCTTCGGTACTAGAAACAAATCAAAAGCACTGTTATCAGAAACAGGTACCACAACTATTTAATCCTTTCAAGAGGAGGCTTTCCAGGCTTGGTAAGGAGCACGCGCTTTCAGCCAGATTCAATAAAAATTAAATTAGGCTTCAGATTCTTTATTGAATGGGGCCCTTCAGCGTTAACACTCAGCTGCGAGGAAGGGGAAGGGGAGGGGAGAAACTGCAGCTTTACTGGGAGCCCTGGGAATTTCCAGAGCGCCTCGACTGCAGAACTGGGCAAGGCAGGGGAGAGCACTCGACTTCACCCAAAAATTAGCAGAAAAGAGCAGGAATTCTTTCAGCCACGGGTCTATTCAGCGAGTCTGAAGGTCGGGAACTTCAGTACTGGCCCTGCTCCGTGTCACAGTAACCCAAACGAAGAGCAGAGACTAAACCTCTCCGGTCTGACTCGTGAACAAGGACCGGCTGTGGAGCATCTCCTCTTTATCAGCAATCTGGGATTATAAACTAAGCAAGAGCAGATTCCCCCCCCTCCCCTCTGAATTTTAGCCACTTTTCAGAAGACACCAGCCTCGTTAATCAGACAGTAATAGGACCATGTTAAATGGACGCACACTGAGCGACGCCGTTCAGCCGCACCAGACAATACGGGTGTGCTCCAGTCACACCTGAAGGACGGGAGGCAACGGGCACGACGGCGCAAACCAGATCATCCCGACTCGCCTCCCTCCGGCAAAACGCTCCTGGGGATCTGGCACATCCCAGGAAGCAGGCTCTCCCTCTCACTTCCCTAAGGAACTTCATTTAAAAAAAAAAAAAAAAAAAGAGAAAAAAATTGAAACAAAATTCTCAAATGGTGGCAAAATCCCCCAGGGCAAAACAAAAATGCTATAAAAAAAAAAAAGTTACAGACTGTAATGACCTCCAGTTGCAGCTCTGTAGGTGAGCAAGCGTTCCTGACTACCTAAAAAAAAAAAATAAAAATAAAAGCTGGTGTCAGTTTAGAGCCAACATTTAAGAGGCTCCCAGGGAGGAGGAGACCAGAGGAGGAGAGGGGACTCCCTGCTCAGCCCCTGCGACGCAGGGACGCGGGGCGGTCCGAGAGACGAAATGCAGCATCGTCAGCAAGACCGGGACGGCCGCGTCTTCCCCGCTCTGAGGTTGGGAGAAAAAAATGCCTTCTAGGAGCCCCAGCAAACCTTCTGCGGCCGAGCCGGACAACGCGCAGCACCTAGCTGCGATGGGAGCATCGCCCTTGTGCTCTACCGACGGTAATTCCCCGATACAAACGGACAAGTCGCAGTCACTCGGTGAGCAGACGCTCTCCCCGAAGACTTTGGGTCCCCAAATCTGACGTTCCAGCAGCTGCCGAACATCGCCGCCACCCAGGCGAGCTCCAAACCTCTTTCTCCACCCCAGCACCAGCCGGTCCCCGCACCCCCCCTCCCGGTTCACAAGCGCGAGAGCCCTCCTCTCCGCAGCCCCTCCAGTTTGAACCACGCGTTTCCGGCGTCGCTGGTTTCCAGGCTCACCTTCGGTTTTGGTTCACAACGTCCCCCTGCCTGCGGACGACACCA